TAGGGCGCCTACTTTTTAAGATAACAGATCCTAGCCATGAAACTTGGTATCCTCGAAAGGGGTAGGGTATGAGCCTCTAGGTAGGGTTGGATCGGGTGAAGGGTTTCTGGAGTCTAGGGTTTAGGGTTTATGGTGACTCACATGCTAGGGTTCTAGGTCCCAAAGACTCTACATGGTTTTGGGGACTGGGACACTACGATTTGCGTACTTGGACCCGGCTGAGGCTTTAGACTAGGGCATTAGGGTTTGTTGGGGCTTTGCGGCTTGTGGGGGCCTTCAATAGAGCTGCAGGCTTCAAGGTCTTGGTGCTTTTTGGCATTAGACTTGAGTTTCTCGTGTTCATAGTTTGAGTCTCTCGGGTTTAGAATGCAGGGTTTGAGGGTAGTTCCTGCATGACCTTAAGGACCCGAATTAAACTATGGGAGTTATGGTATATTCCTTATTATTTTGGGTAATGCAGGATTTATATCATCAACCGCATTATGGGTTTAGGGTTTAGCGTTGTGGGTTTAAGGAGATTCTAGGTGTCAGAACTCTCGGAGTCCTAGAGCTATGTCAAAGACGCTAGTTAGAGTTGGACCTGGAAGAAGGGCCGTAAACACTAACCTTCAAATCCTAATCCCTAAACCCTAAACCTCTAGTTCCTTTGAGCCCACACTTGAGTAAGGATTCCATAAGCGTTTAGAGGCCTGCAGAACTACCTACGGGGCTCCGTGTAATAACGATAAAGGCCCCGGTCCTTATCCCCAAACCCTAAACCCTATTCCATTTAACGTTGTCAAGAAAAGGCGCTCAAGTAAGTCACAAAGCTTAGCAAGCGAAGGAGGTGCGCAAACCTTCAGCCCCTAAAGCCCTAGCCCTTAAAGGAACCCTTACCCAGAGGGTCCATATACATTACAATTATGGAATTAGTCCCCTGCCATAATAGGGATGGTGCTTTGGGACCTAATTCCATAATGGTAGTGTATATGGACCCTCTGGGTTATAGAATCATTACCTTAGATAGCCAATGGAAGAACTTTAAACTTTTACGCCTTATGTATTTCGTTTATTTTGCTCTGCTTGTTTTTTTTTGGGGGCCCGGTCATCGAAGCCGAGACTTACAGGAACCCTTGAAGGAAAATTCGCGGGAGCCCTTAAATGAACCTCCCAAACCCGAAACACTAGCTCCGAACCGCTAAACCCTAAACCCAAACAGGATAATCTGAGGAACCCTTAAAGGAACCCTAAACCCCTAAACCCTAAACAGGAACCCTTACAGGATAATCTAAGGAACCCATAAAGGAACCCTTAAAGCAACCCTAAACCCTCAACAGCAACCCTTACAGGATAATCTGAAGAACCCTTAAAGGAACCTGCCAAGAAAACGAAGGAGGCCCTCCACCGAGACAAGCTCTCCGGGTTCCTGGAGTCCATGGGCATCTCCACACAGGACGGTTTTGGGTTTATGAGGGTTTAGTGTTGGGGTTCAGTGGTTAATTTACTTGTCTTAAGGGTTTATTTTCAGGGTTTAGTTTGTGGGTTCATGTTAATTTCAGTTGTATTGTTTTTCAGTGTTTTCAGCTTTCCCTGAAGCCTAAACTCTAAACCCTGAGCCGTTGTCTGCCTGTTTTTGTTTGGTTCCCTATAAACTTGAAAGCACTAAACCCTGAAGCCCCAAACCCTGAACCCCTGAACCCCTAAACTCCTGGACCCCAAACCGCGTTGAAAAGGACGTCCGGAGCATCAGAATAACTACGGAGCCCTAAAAGGGGACGTCTTTTCGGCTACCGGTAACCCTAAACCTTAAATCTGTATCTTCAAGGACGTCTTGAATCCTAAACACCTAAACCCTTATAGCCCCTAAACCCCTAGACCCTAAACCCTAACCCCTAACGTCTAAACCCCGAAACCCAAAACTGCCTTGAGAAGGACATCTGGGTGGTTGTCAAAATTAGGGTCCCTTTTTGGGTCCTAAATATCGCACGGCACCTATTCTTTACCCTAAGGCTCAGAATAGCCCAAAAGCCTTATACAGTATGGTCTTTGGGCCCAAAAGCCTTACAATATGAGCCCTTAGGGTTAGGGCACCCTAAAAGGGACCAGAATTTTGACAACCAAACATCTGGCGCCTTTCGACAGCACCCCTGAAAAGGACCACTCCCTGATCCCTCAACCCCAAATCTATAGAACCCTTGAAAACGGATTTTTCCTTAATCCCTAAACCCTAAATCTATTTTTTAGAAAAACTCAACCTAACTTAAAAAAATAAAAGCCCTATAAATCTTTAAAACCCCTGAAAAGAGGACGTCTGGAGCCTCCCTAAATCTTTCAAACCCCTGAAGAGGACGTCTGGAGCCTCTTCATGATCATCGACGCGGATCGGAGTGGCCTTATCGACCTGGAGGAGTTCGTGGCGGGCTGCATGCGCCTGGGAATGAGCTTTTTACTTAAAGGATCATGGGACTTAGTAACTAGGGTTATAATCAGGGTAACTATACTTATAACTACTTATAACCCCACTTCAGGTACTTATAACCCTATACTAAGTCCCATGATCCTCCAAGTAGGGTTTTAGGGGCATTTTAGGGTTTTTATGGGGCTTATAGGGTTGAGGGGGTTCGAGTTTAGGGATTTAGGGCTTAGGGTTTAGAGTTGTAGGGTTTAGGGCTTAAGGGTTTTAGGGTTTTACGGTTTTTGTTTTTTAAGGTTTAGGGTTTAGGGTTCAGGTTTAGGGTTTAATGACTTTGGCTGCTACATTATTGTTGTAGGTTTGCAGCGGGGGTCCGTATTCCTATGAGGCAATGATGAGTTTGGGGCTGCATGCGAGTGGGACTGATTGGTGTTTAGGATGGGAGTTTCCGAACATAGGGGGCCCCAATATGGTACCCCAAATAGTCGGACCCTTATTATATATAAGGACCCCAAAATAAGGTACCCCGAATTTTCGGAAACCCGAAATAGGTTTCGGCGCTTATAGGGTTCTGATAGGTTCGCGGTTGAGGGTTTGGGGGGGTCAGGTTCAAGGCGTAGTTACGGCTCAGAGGCTTCTTGGGGTTTGCGGCTTGGGGTTTTTTAGACAAGCATAAGGCTTCCCGGCTGGGAATGATTCGTCGTCGAGGGTTCCCAGAGGGTTTTGTAGGGTTGAGGGTTCAGAGTTCGTGCAAAGTTACATATTTACAGGGTTGTTGTATAATGTTTTGTTTGTTGGTTTTGCACAGATTTGCTGGGGTAGCAAACTCGTGCGGCCGTCCTCGCCTCCCCTTACGCACAGTTCCCATGGCGTACGATTGCAGCGGCTTGGAAATGGCTCGGGTCATGGGCCGAATCCTGGATGAAGGGGGTGGGCTTGTGCGCACCGTGGTTTGCGACAACGCTGGAAATCATAACATCATCCGAGCGCTTTTGCTCGGAACGCCGCACGGCCTGCCACAGCGGGAAGTTGAAAAGATCCCATTCTTCCGGGACATCCGGTACAAGAAGCTCCCTAGAAGCTTCCTGCCTCATTTTCCGTTCGCCAAGCCATGCGTGGGCTCGGAGGTGATCTTCTTCCTCAATGCGCCTTTCCATCTGGAGAAAAAATTCACATCTGCAATTCGCTCTGGGGCTTTACATAAGCAGATCTATAAGGGGCTTGGGGTTTAGGGTCTAGGGTAGCTGGGAATGATCAGTGGGCGGTTTACCCTAGATAGAGCCACCGATTTTCTCCTGTAGCAAACAACACCCTGAAACCCTAGAGCTCTATAACCCCAGAACCCTACAGCCCCAAACCTTCAGTCGTAACCCCACGAACCACGAAGCCCTAAACCCCAAGGCTTGAAGAGCCGTTTCTCTCTTGAAGAATCCTTATAGATCATTCTAAGGAATCCGCAAAGGAATCCCCCCTAAGGTCGCCTTTATAGGTACTTAAAGGATCATGGGACTTAGTAACTAGGGTTATAATTAAGGTAACTGTATTTATACCGACTTCAAACTTGTGTGGCCCAATTATGGTACTTGTAACCTTACTTGTAATGAAGGTAACTGTACTTGTATCTACTTATAACTTATAGCCCCAATTATGGTACTTATAACTTATAGCCTTACTGGCTAAGTCCCATAATCCTCCAAGTAGGACCTAAACCTTTATAGATCACATCATAGGAACCCATATAGATCCCTTTAAAGGAACCCTAAACCCTAAGGATCACTTCAGGTACTAAGTCCCATGATCCTCCAAGTAGGACCTTGAGACTCAAAGGCAGCTCCATGGTCCCGCGAAGAGCTTGCATGTGGCGAAGATGAACCACGACAACAAGGTGAGGATTTAGGGGCTTAGGGTTGTGGGGTTTAGGGTTCTAGGATTTGGGGTTTAGGGGCTTAGGGTTGTAGGGTTTAGGGTATTGGGTCTCCGTAGCCATTTGGGCTCAAGCTTTTGCGGTTCAAGCTCCAATTCCTGACCGCCCCATCATAAACATGCTCTTCACCTTCGAAGACGGGCCATTGGAGTCCACGCAGCGGGGGCTAGGTGCTGAGCGTTCACGCTGCGTTTGGGTGCCTCCACTTCGGGACCCATTTGTGCATCTTGGTGTCCGTCGCGGAAGCCAGCATTTTGGCAGCAGCTGCCTTGATCCATGTCGCGCCCGTTATTTACTTGGACCCCGTGGATGGGATTGCAGCCGTGTCGGTGGTCGGGCCCTGGCACGGCAAACCACTGAGGAAGGTCTTTGTCAGCATGCGTTTTCACAGAGGTGTACCGCTGCCGCAGATGCACTTGCTGAGACGGGTGCTAAAACGGTTCCGCGTGAAGGCTGTCATTGCCACGCATGTCTCCGGAACATGGAAGCGGAAAACATGGAAGCTGATCCACGACTGTGACATATTCCTTGTCGCCGGCACCAACGATTTTGGTGTGAACACAGGCCACGAAGCCTGCACCTATTTCGAGTTACAGGAATTCGAGCGCCTTTGCAAGTTGGGCAAGAAGCCCCAGCAACTCGCCCTTATCGACATGCGTCGCAAGGGCGAGCGCTTTAAAACAGGAGCCGGGCTCAACTTGCTCCTGAACCGCCCTCCTTCTGCCGTATATGGGAGCAGAGTGCGGCACAAAGATGGGGATTTGAGCTCGTCAAGCTTCTCACACCGCTGTGGCCCCGCCGGCTCCTGCAGCATCCTATGCCCATCATGGAGTCCTACATTGTCGAATGGCTGCTCTGCGAAATCTCCAGAACCGATGAAGAGTTCTGGCGTGTCTAATAAAAGATAGCTTTCTGCGGCCTCGGTAGTACTGCTTTCGTGTGCGGGGCTGATCTATCTGCCCTCTGCAGGGCAGTGCATTTCCACACTTGCCAGTACATTGATCTGGCTCCTCGACTAGGACCTTCGGACGGCCTAGCACGCTGCTGCTGGCAACCTCGTATAAGGGATAACCGTGTTGCACACTTTCTTCTTCAAGTTTTTCCGCATTCCGACATCATGTGCTCCCTGCGTGATCCCACGCAGCTGTTGATGTGATGACGTAAGCGCCTCGGTGCCGATATGAAGCAGCCGCTCCTCCCCACGTGTGCTGGTCAGTGCCGGCGCCTCCATAATAGGGAAGTCATCTGCTTTGTTTCACTTTCATTTTAATTTCCGCTCGCGGCGGTTTGCTGCTGCCTCGGTCAAGCTGTTGATGCAAGAACCATGGAGTCACCGAGAGGGATGTGGGCTTTTCCCTGTTTACCGCGTGGGCCACGCGGGCCTTTCTCCTGTTTGCGCGTGGGCCACCCGGGTCGCTTCTCTCTCTCGCTCTCTCTCTCCCTCCCTCTGTTTGTCTGGCTGTTTGTCTGTCGCCCGTCTGTCTGTCTGCCCGTCTGCCTGCTTGCCTGCCTGCCTGGTTGTCTGTCTTTCTGTCCGTCTGTCCGTCTGTCTGTCTGTTCGTCTGTCTGTCTCTCTCGCTCTCTCTCTCTCTCTCTCCCTCTCTCTCTCGCTTCTCTCTCGCGTGGGCCACGCGGGCCGCTGGGGCTGGGGGGGGGCCTGTTTGCGCGTGGCACACGCGGGCCGCCTCCTGTTTGTCGCGGGCCACGCGGGCCGTTGCTCTCTCTCTCTCTCTCCCTCTCCCTCTCCCTCTCCCTGTCCCTCTCCCTCTCCCTCTCCCCCTCTCCCTCTCTCCCTCTCTCCCTCCCTCCCTCTCTCCCTCTCTCCCTCTCTCCCTCTCTCCCTCTCTCCCTCTCTCCCTCTCTCCCTCTCTCCCTCTCTCCCTCTCTCCCTCTCTCCCTCTCTCCCTCTCTCCCTCTGCCTCTCTCCCTCTCTCCCTCTCCCCCTCTCCCCCTCTCCCCCCTCTCCCCTCTCCCCCCCCCTCCCCCTCCCCCCTCTCCCCCTCTCCCCTCCCCTCCCCCTCTCCCCCTCTCCCCCTTCTCCCCCTCTCCCCCTCTCTCCCCCTTCTCCCCTCCCCCTCCCCCCCCCCTCTCCCCCTCTCCCCCCTGTGCCGATACACCCACAAGGAATGCTCCTTGTTAGGAGGTGTATGACCAGTTATTCCCTAAGGATCAAAGGGCAGCGCCCTGCACACGGACAGTAGTTGTTTTGTCTTGCTACGCAAGGAGAGCTTGTCTTGTCTCAATATGGTAAAACCACTGTGAGCCAATGGGCAGCGGAATGTATATGTATGAGCATGCAGCCATTGCTGTAGGTACCTGTTAGAGCTACCCCTTTAGAGGTTTATGGTTTCAAACAGACACTAATTTTCTTTTACCGGAAGCATGGCCGCACATTCACACATATACTATTATGCCCACTGTCACAGTTGCGGAGTCTGGACTCATGATGAAAACAGCATATTATTTAAGCTAGGTATAGCACTGAAGTACACTGCTGAGGACACTCCTTTTGCACACACTCATGCATGTTGGTCAGAGAGATCGTCTGTACAAGATCATGTCTGGTGATATTTTCTACATCGAATTATGCAGCCCTTCACTTTGCTCTTGTTAGAGCTTTGTGAGTCACTGTTGTGAAACTCCGAGATTTTCCTTATCTCAGATTTGGATCCAGGTTTGGATCATAGGCTCGAGCGTAGACGTTCGGATGTGGCTCATCCGGGTCTGAGTGATCTTCTTCGGAACTTGAATAAATTCCGAGTAGTCTGTTCTCAGCCCTGGTGAAGGCGGCGTCTGCAGTATCATATCCATGGTTGGATGTTGTCGCCTTTGGCTCGGCCTTTGGCGCAGCTTGTGAGCTGACTGGAGTTGCCTTGGCTTTAGCCGGTTGTGGCTGCTTAGCCTTTGCCCGTTCAGCCCTTCTTCTTTCAAGCTGTCCGTCTGAGGACGCCCATGATCTTTCACTTTCATCTCCTGAAGGAGATAAGGCGTGGGCATAAAGGCTATTCCAGTACTGTGCTGCAGAAGGAGTTAGGACTTCTTCATTGTCAGATTCTGACTGGTCTTCCTCAGAGCTTTGGTCGTCAAAGAGTGTCTCGAGGACATTTTTGAGATTGTTATTTCTTCGCTCTATCTCTAGTGAGGAATGGACCAATTGGTTAAAGACTGTCCTTGAGTCCTTCAGTGCTGTTAGAAGGATTTCCACTCTGGATAGAGTATCTTGGATGGTGTCAAGATGTTCCTTCCTTTCCTCCTTGTCTCTCTGGATAGAGCTTCGCAATGATTGTGCGATTCTGAGGAGGTCTGTGTATTTCGTAAGAGGCATAGTTACCGTTTGATTGTCATGTATGACAGTTGTTTCGTCGCCGCTTAAGTTCCTGAATAGGACTTCCACGACTGGTAGAAACTCCGTGCTCCACGGTTCCTCTTCATCATATGTTTCTACGTGCTGTAGCACGCGTTGTGTAAACTGATCGGCTGCTTCTACCGTTGCATCGATAGAGCTGACGTGTCTTGCTGCCATGTTTCGGCACGTAATGTTAATTGCCTGGCCTTGATTGGCTTCGTTAAGTGCAGCGTCTGCATAGGTGCAGAGTCCACTGTTGTGGGCTTCTCTGGCTGCCTTTCGTTGAATGCGCCGATTTTGACCTCCTCTTCTGGTAGGACCTTTTGGTCTCGGAGGATCTGAAGGTACTGTTCCTTTCGCCTTTGGCGGAGGACTCTTAGGTGGAGGTGACATGTTTGCCTTGTTAGGCACTGGTGGCATTGCCTTGGGCGCTGACGACGATGCGGCACTTGAGAGTGCAGATGTACCTTTGGCTTTTGCCGAGGATCCCTTAGGGATCGATGTATAGGTAATCTGCATGGCTTCTTCGGCCATTTGTGCATGCAATGCATCTTTGAATAATTGCGTCATATGAGGAGTGGTACTTGCATCATCGTAGGTCTGGAAGCGCTCAATGTCTCTTTCGGTGCCACGTGGACGTGTATCACCTCTTTGAAAAGGATCGTTCCTGCGAATCTCCGCAACTTGTACTGCATGGAGGCAGTTTTTGCACAGCACCTTCCTGCAAACATCTCTTGCTTGCTTGAGCTGGTAACAGCTGTCTGAGAGATGGTAGACTTCGCTTCGGGAAGTATGCCAGATAGGTCGCAGATCAGTTGTTTCTCCGGAATTGACCCTGTTGGGTCCTAAAGGTTCACGCGTCTGCGGTTCATCCTCGGGTTCGAGGAATGGAACTCTTTGGTTCGCTGCTGCTTTTGATTTTGGTTGTTGGCGCTCCATACATCTGATAGGAGGCCTGGTAATCTGCTTCCACATCCAGTGTAAGCCCATTAGCAGCAGAAACACATTCCACGCGATGCTGAAGACGGAGAAGTCCTGCTCACTGGTTAGTGAGTTTGGAAGTGAAGTTTCATCAGTCTTGATAGACTCTGCGTTCGCTCCACCTTGGTTGCGGTGTCCGAACCAGCCCGACAACCCCGCTGCTGTAGCAGCTGTTCTGAGTGCCTTGCCGCTCGGAGCAGACGGTGGACGCGATGCCTTCCTTCTTCTCCTCCGGCTGGAGGATTCGTCCTCTTGTTCCTCTTCATCTCTCTGAGCAGACATCAAGTTTGATGTTTCTCTTTCGTGTTCTTCGATGTCACTTTTTGTTGGTGACGGTTCCTCTTCTAGTCCATCCAGCTCTTCCAAAGACATGTTGAGCTTGTCAACAATATTGGTTCTTTGAGGCCTGGACCTTGATCTTGGTAGATCTTGTTGTGAAGAGGACGATGATTCCTGGTTCCTTCTTGGAGGAGGACCTTCAGGCTCGCTGGGACGTTCAGGCTGTGGCCATTCCCAGAATCTTCCGTATCTGTGATGGCTACCTGATGGTTGCGATCTGTCGTACCAGCTGTTGCCGGATGAGTAAACGAATGAATCTTTGTAACCCCAGTATTCAGCATTACGCTGCTTGAAAGCCTTTCGCTTGTCAGCGATCTTCTGAACCTGGGCATCTGACCGGTTGTGTTTCCCTTTTGTAAGGATTGGTTGTATCGTGAAGCCCAAAGGGCTGTGCCAATCTTTGTCAGAGGGACTCAACCATAGGTCAAGGTTAGAAAAAGTTGAATAGTACTGCTTGACTGAGACAAACAGACGGATATCAATATCCCTGTTATTGTTCATGTCCTGCCACATATCTGAGATTCGCTCCCAGTATGTTCTTTCGGCGGCAGGTGTAACATCTCTTGGACTAGGTGACGCCGTGTGCGGCGTTTTACTCCAGTCAAGGATATAACTGTTGATACAGTCAAGGTCAGCAACTTTCTTCGCCGGGTCCGCCGGTAGACGATCTGCACGTGCCAGTCTGTGCTGGTCGGAGTTGTTCAAGCAAAGATGTCGCACTTGTGAGTGCCTTCCTGCTATTTTGTTGAATGCTGCAAGTTTCTTCTCCAGGTATAGAGAAAACAAACTGTTTCGCGGGTGAACGTCTCCACCTTTTAAGGTGAGCCTCGACGCAATATTATTGAGATCTCCCGCTATTACATCCGGTTTAAAAGGGAGAATCTCGTTGAGGAACGCGTTCACCAGTTCGCGTCTCTGTTCTTCCTTATGAGTCATGTATGAGTTGAAATGGACGATCGCGATGGTGATGACCTTGTAAGGCCCTTTTGTACACCACATCTCGTCAAGATCGTTCGATGCTTCTTGTGAGAAGATCTCTGCGTATGACTCAAAGTCTTCCTCTGGTGGCTCATCACCCTCGACATGGCCGTTCCATTCACAGAGAATCGGCGAGGGGTCGAGGTTCGACAGTGTCAGGCACGCCTCTGGTGAGAGGTAAGAGCCATCAGTGGGTCCATCCTTGTCAGGATTTTTGCCCTTGAGTGGGTCATATCCGATAATCTGCATGAACT